ACTGGGCTGATATTGTTTCAATAAGGGCTCTTGTTCTACTTGTTAGAACAGATTGAGAAAAAGTATTACTGAGTTTTAGGGTTGGGAGGACCTATAATTGTCTACATTTCCCCACAAACTGTTTTGCTTTTCTATAGACTGAGTTATTATGCCCAATATCTTTTTTAAAAAGATATTCTTATTAATTTTTAGAGAGAGGGGAATGGAGAGAGTGACAGAAACATCCATGATGAGAGAGAATCATGATCAGCTGCCTCCTGAGCGCCCTACTGGGGATTAACCCGCAATCTGGGCATGGGCCCTGACCGGGGCAGAACCAGTGATCTCTTGGTTCCTGGGTAGAGGCTCCACCACTGACCCACACCAGTGGGGCTGTCCAATACCTTTTTTACTCCTCAATCTTCCCTGCAATTCGGCTATTTTAATTAACAGAACAATTGTATTACCAAATATCAATGAAATAACTACTAAAACAATCATTAGACATTTAGTACAGTGTATTATAAATCATCATTATACGTATAGGGCAACAGAACCCTATACAGGGGATTAAAGAATAATCCATCCATATATCATAGTGCACTTAATGATTATCCCCAAAAATTACCATACAAAGGAAAATTTCAATATTAATGACGACACAAAATTCATAGTACTCCTTAGAAATTTTTCTATATATTTCTCTATTTAAAAGCTATTAATTTCTGATATTATTGATTTATTTTAGAAAAACTTTAGGAAACTTAAAACAAAACACTGTGAACTTTAAAAAAGATTTGTAAACTTAAAAAAAAATTTTTAAATGAAGCCCTGAATGATCATGCGCTGGATTTCAGTGAAACCGAAGGTTTTCTTCCTAAATGCCTACCTGCGCATTGGCTTTCCTTCCATGCACCATGAAAAGTACCCTTCACCACACTCTAAAGCCGAACCTAAGACAACAGAGAAGCAGCAACTTAATAAAAACTATTTCTCAGCGATACACCATTTCACGTCCTGTTATATTACAGACCTTTTGCAGATGCACAAGCATAGCCTTTACCCAGGACCTTACAGTGGTTCTCAACCTTCCTAACGCCGCGACTCTTTAATACAGTTCCTCGTGTTGTGGTGACCCCCGATTTCATTGTTACAAATTGAACATAATTAAAGCATAGTGATTAATCACAAAAACAATATGTAATTATATATGTGTTTTCCGATGGTCTTAGGCGACCCCCGTGAAAGGGTCGTTCGACCCCCAAAGGGGTCGCGACCCACAGGTTGAGAACCGCTGCAGATGACTATCCTTCACCTGAAACGATTTTAAGTGAAGGCGAGGGAACGCGCGCTAACCAGTCGCGACCGCCAGGTCCGTCTTCCTTCAAACGGCGCTCGGAGGCGTCCCGTCTGACCTCAGCGCGCCCCCCGGGTGCCCACGGCGGCTCTAACTCACACACGAATAGGGAGCGGCCGGTTCAACAACGGACCTGAAAGCAATGAACCTGTCTGGAAGCGACAGCGGCAGGGGAGGCATTTTGCCTTTAAAAACAAAAACGCCGCTTCCGACAGCCGGGCAGCTTTAACGGTACAGAGACGCGAACGCTCCGGGTTCACATTCTCTTCACCAGCCCTTCCCTGTCTCAAAACCATGTCCACCGCCCACTCGGCACAATCTCGCTAGGTCCCCAGGGTTAAATGGGGCGCTTCTCCCTCGTCCCAGTCCTTGTCTGGGGAAGCTGTGCAGACAAGCCCCGACCCCCAGGCGGGACAGGACAGCCCAGCGCCTCCCGGGCTCCGGGGTGGGGCGGCCAGCAGGCTGGAGTGCA